CGGAGCGGTGTCAATAGGGACACACCGAGTCACAGCTCGGACCGGTGTCAGTAGGGACACACAATGTCACAGCTCGGCTCGGTGTCAGTAGGGACACGCGGAGTGCCCCGAGCCTCACCCTGTGCTGTCCCCGCAGAACGTGCTGGCCGGGGCGCTGTTCGGGCCGTGGACTGGGCTGGTGCTCTGCTCCGTCCTTACGTCGGTGGGAGCCTCCTTCTGCTACCTGCTCTCTGCTGCCTTCGGCAAGCAGCTCGTCGTGCACTACTTCCCTGAGAAAGTGGCTCTGCTGCAAGGGAAGGTAGGACCAGGTGCTGCTGCAACAGCCAGGACTGCCCCGGGCCAGGGGCTTTGGGATGAGTTAGGAAATGGATGTGTTCAGGAGATGCATCAAGTCTAGGAGCAGGCTGCTCTCGTGGAGCAAGCCTGTTGGCATAGGGGCTGTGGGGAAAATCCCAGATCCCAAAGAAAATCAAAAGTAAGACAAAGGATTTATTGGGAAGTCCCCGTGCTCCAGAACTGCCTCCATCTATCCTGTGCTTCTGCTGTGACTTCCTTGGTGACCTTTGCTTCCTCACCCTCACTCCCATAGATAGATAACCTTTCTGCTTTTCATCAGTTCTGGACTGACCCTGTGGGATGTTAGAATGAAACTTACACTCACGTTAGTGCTGTGGCTGTTGTCAGTGTGGCCTGAGGAGCAGAAATAATGTGGAACCTTTCTCTTGGCAGCTAGAAGAGAACAGGAGCTGCTTATTTTTCTTCTTGTTGTTCCTGAGGCTGTTCCCCATGACACCAAACTGGTTTCTGAACCTCTCGGCTCCCATTTTAAACGTCCCTGTGTCCCAGTTCTTCTTCTCCGTGCTGATCGGTAAGGCCTGGGGACGCAGTCCAAGGGGACAGCTGTGCCACTGCTGAGCAGGGACAGAGCTCTGACTCTGCCTCGTGTACCTCTTTGCCTCTGTGCTGCCCTTACTCTGAGACCCTGGAGCATTTTCCAAACGTGTGTCACCAGTGCTGCAAGTTTTGATTCACACGCTGTTCCTTCTGTTATGAGCACAGACCCTGTGTCTGTGTCATGGCCATAGACAAAACCACCTCAGCATGAGAAAGTACTGCTTTCTATGGAGGTGGCAGAGCACTGGGACAGCTGCCCAGGGAGGGTGTGGAGTCTCCCTCTCTGGAGACATTCCAGGCCCACCTGGATGTGTTCCCTGTGTCACCTGCTCCCCGTGACCCTGCCTGGGCAGGGGGATTGGACTGGGTGATCTCCAGAGGTTCCTTCCAACCCCAACCATTCTGTGATTGTATCTGGCCTTGAGCATATTTGAGCTGATTTAATGGGGGGATGCTAACAGCCTTTTTTCTGCTCTGATTCTTCCAGGCCTTACACCTTACAACTTCATCTGTGTGCAGACAGGATCCATTCTGTCCCAAATCACCTCTCTGGATGCCATTTTCTCCTGGGACACTCTGCTCAAACTGCTGGGCATGGCCCTAGCAGCACTGATACCAGGGACTCTCATCAAGAGATACAGCAAGAAGCACCTGAAGTTGGACGGGGACAAGCAAACTCAGGCAGTCAATGGCAAAAAGAGCTTTTGATGGCTCAGGTGCCCCAGTTTTGGGGTAAAAGCTGCAAGTCTGTGCTCTTGGGGGTCATACTCTGCATGCTCTGTGCCACCAAGGACCGTGGCAGTTTTTAATCGTCCTTCTCACCTCAGAGGAGGTGTAAGGGTCCTCTTCTTAATGAATGTTTACCTGTGCATGTCTCTGCAGTGAGAGTGCTGCAGAGGCTTTGTGAACACTGTTAATTTGCCTCCTTCGATTAAATCCTGTGTGCCTGAGGGTGTGCCCAGCCATAAGCACAGGGAAGAAATGAGGACTATTAGCATCCTGTGAGGAAGACAAACCAGACCCACCCAGCTGTGGAGCAGGGGTGCCAAGCATTGCCCTGGAGACAGCAGGCAGGCCCTGCTCCCCCCACCCCCAGGCTGATTTCTGGCCTGAAGTGGTGAACTCAGTTTGCTGTTGGTGCAGGGGCACAAGCACTGAGCTGAGCAAGTAATGCTGTTCCAGGGTGCTGCACCCTCTGTAGCATAGCTTGCACAGCTGTAAAGACTCCTCTTTGCTTCCCGTGTTAAACAAGCACACCTTGCAGTAAAACCATTCGGGATTTCAGCTGCCTATGGTGTCAGTCGTGTCAGAACACCCAAGATTGCTTCTCTGCTCTGTCCGTGGCTGCTACTCCCCACACAGGCTAAAGGGAAAAAGGACAGGGATGGATGTGCCTGGCTGGCAGGGATTTGTCCTTGAGAAGCACCTTGAAACCTACACATTTGCTCCTCTGTAACTAGAATGGTTCCAAAAAAACCCAGATGAGCTCTGTCCCAATTCCTGGAGAACATGGAAATCACAGAATCCCAGAATGGTTTGGGTTGGAAGGACCTTAAAGATCATCTTGTTCCACTCCCTGCCATGGGCAGGGACACCTCCCACCAGCCCAGGTGGCTCCAAGCCCCATCCAACCTGGCCTGGAACACTCCCAGGGCTGGAGCAGCCACAGCTGCTCTGGGCAACCTGTGCCAGTGTCTCACCACCCTCCCTCCCCCAGGGATGATAACTCTGTGCTCTTGGGTTTTTGGTCTTTGCATCTCCTTGATCTGCTCTGCCTGAGCCTGCTCTCCTCTTGGAGGATCAGGTATCTTCCTGGCATGGAGTGGGGCAGAGAGGAGACCCTGGAGCAAGGCTTTGTGACATTATCCCAAAGTCCATGAGAACTCATTCCCAGACCACCAGACCAGCCTGAAGCATTGAAGTACACTGGCTTTTATTCCATGCATTGTTTGCTTTGATAGTCATTCTTGTTTCCATCACTGTACACTGGTCAATACAAAAAAAATCAAGTTTGTCTCAGGAATCCACAGAGCAGGGAGGAGGGGATGAACACTACTGGACAGGGCCAAGATGAAATGGGTACTTAACACAACAGTGGGGAGGGCAACATTCAGCTCTGGGAGAAAATCTAGGCTAGTGTTCAGGAGCTGTCAGCAGCCACGAGAACTGGATCAGGGGGCTCAGGTTGCTGGAAAGGAACCCACGTTTACTCCTGCTCTGCACACGTGGTGTTACTACCAGGAGGAAGCATGTCCAGCTCACACCTCTCAGCCCCAGACCCTGCTAGGAGAGAAGGTGTGAGGAAGTGCCACAGAGACCACGTGGAGGTCACATCTGTGCAATTCCAGGGAGGTTTCACTGAGGAACATCCTACCTAACCCTCCCCAGAAGGGACAGTGACCATCCCAGGGGTGCAGGGGGTGCTGAGCCACCCCTGCCCACACACAGCTGAGGGCAGGGGGAGGCTGTGGTGACATCTCCACGGGCACAGGGACTGCCCTAGTGGCATTCCCGGAGGGAAGCTGCGGCGGAGGCAGTGGGGAGGAGCAGCGACACTGGACCCTAACAGTGCAATGACCTGGGTGTGTGAGGAAACTAGAGCTAAGTGTGGCAACGAGGCAGCCTGGAGGGTTCAGTTCTGCTTGTCCAGGCTGCAGAACAGGCCAGCATGGCCCCAGGCAAGGATGGGGAAGGAGCAGCACACATCTGGGACAGCTGGCCCAGAAGGGTCCCAAAATCTGTATCAAAGCTGCTCTGCAAGCCTTGAGGAGCTTCATCCCAGGGTGGAGCAGCTCTAAGCAGACACCACAGGTACCCAAACCCCCTGGGATCTGTTTGCCAGGGACTGACTCACCACAGGCTGCAGTCCTTGCACGGGGGCTCTGACAGACCCAGGCTGGAGGCAGCTCTGCTTTGGGGTGTCGTGTGGGGCTGTCTGGGGGGCTCAGGGAGCCTGACAGGTCTGAGCAGAGTCTCCCGGGGGCACGAGGCCTGGCATCCTCTGCTGGGGGACACCTGATGGCAGCTCTCAACCTCTCTGTACCCCATAGCTTGGTCTCCCTCTATGTATGTTAAAATATTCCACTTCCCTCCCCTTGGCCTCCAGCCTCCTGAGTAACCATATGCACCACCTCTTCCACACCAAACCTCTCACACCACAACAGCAAAGCCATGTCTGGCCCTGCCAACCCTCCTGCCACTGGCTGTGAGACACACAACATCTGGGAGGAGAAACAAGGGGTGGGAAGAGGGAGGAAACAAGAAAGGAGCCAGGAAAGAGCTCCACTCCCCACGCACTCTGCCTCCACCCAGAGCTGAGCAGCCTGTTTGGTCCTGCACGGGTGACCCAGCACGGGGATGCACTGCTGGTCACCCTGATCTCACACCTGCTGCCTAGAGCAATCGTCCTCCTCTCCCGTGTCCTTTGGGATGCTCTTGCCAGGGGATCCTACCATGGTTACTCACTTCATGATCAATTCAAAGCCACTCACTCCCTGATCACAACCAGCTCGGGGCTGCCGACTGCCAGCAAACCTCAGCATCCCTCAGGAGGAGGCTCAGAGGGCCATGCAGCCCCCTCTGCCCCCTGCCCGGGGTCACAGCACCCCTGGGAATCACAAGGCAGCAGCTCCTGAGAGCCACGGAGCCCAGCTCTGCTCCCACCCCGCAGCGACCAGGGAGGAAGTAACGTCACACAAACAGGTTGCAATTGTGCTAGCGGTGAAGCCAACCTTCTGATCTACAGAAACCATAATAAATAATAAAATAATGCCATAACTTAAGATCTGTCTGTAGTCCAGCTACAAAAATTTAAAAATACGGGATAATTTAACTCATACAATACTGCTCTCTGTATAAGTAAGACATTTTCCTTCGCTTTGCCATCAGGCTATAAATTACCACAGTTTAAATTCAAACCAATATTTGAAAGTAAAAATGTAAACAAACAAAGCAACAGAAGTACCTGTCCATGGTCCAGTCCTGCCATTCACCTCTGGCTGGAGTGCCCGGCTGCGCCGGGGCAGCCATGCCAGCCAGCGCACTGGGAAGGGCAGAAGGAGAGCTCTCACAGGGCACAGCAGCTAAGGAAGGGGTGGGGGGAACGTGCTCTATCATTTTGTTCTCTTTAGACATTGTTTTAGAAGAGTAGTGTTTGAAGGGAAGGCACTATGAGTTCTATCAGAAAACAAATTCTTCTCATCTGCCAATGCCTCGGCCTGTCGCACACCGGTACTGTCCTCACTTTCACCTGCAGAGTTTCAGCTTGAAGAAGAAACAAGAGGCCTCGGGGCACACCAGAGACACAGCTGTGCCACAGGATTCCCTGGGCAGCCCCTGCTGCAGGAAGGGCAGGCAGCTGCCAGCGCTCCCGAGAACGTACAGTGACCACAGACAGAGAGCGAGGCCGACGCTCCCGGCCAGGCCAGCGATTCCCAGTCTTCCCCCTCCACACACAGCTCTCTGCTGGCTGTCAGTGCTGCTGGAGGTGAGAGGCTCCTTCCCCCAGTCCAGCCCAGGCGTCTCCAGTGTCCTCCCCAGCAGTGCTCAGGCTCTACGGAATGTGCTTTCCACGCTTTGCAAGTCCTTGCTTTTCCAACACTGATTTGAGATTGATTTCTTGGACTGACTGAAGCAGACAGGAGGTAAGAGGAGGAAGTGAACAGGGAAAATGGCACACTGCATCTGGAAGAGGTTTCCCTGCACAGCTGGAGGTCGATGCTGCCAGAGGGAAGCAGGGACGGCGTCAAGAAGTGCTCCGATACCAATTCTCGAGAGGACGAGGTTAGAATACATTTGCAGGATCTCACAACAAAACGCTGATTAAAAAAAGAAACTAAAAATCCTTAAAATAAAACCCACTGTTACATTCCTGGGGGTGTATCGACTCAGCAGACCCTGGATGTTAGCACCTCAGCACCAGTTCTCTCCAGGAACATGTCCACCTTCTGATTAACAAGGACCCAGCTGGTTACACTTTGTTCACAGGTTAACCTACACTCAGGTTGGGGGTTTTTCTGCTTTTCCTCATTGGGTAAGACTGAGTGGTTTAATTTTCTTGATCTGTTCTCCAATCTTCAGGGCCACGAGGCCTGGTCCCCTGTGCAAGCAGCAAGAGAATCCCCCATGTGTGTACACAAAGCGGTCCAGGCAGGACTCCCAGGATGTCTCTCCATAGTGTGCTTGCTTTCTGAACTGGTTTGTTTTTGTTTTTGTTTTTTTTGCAACAAGTCTGTGTGTCTATAAATACAATCCACTCTTTACAGTAAAAAGTGTTAAAATGTCAAAAAAATAAATATCCATGTTACAGTAACTAGATTATTCGATAAAATACATCCCTGCCATTCTTGATTGAAATGCTCAAAGAGAATTAAATTTCATTTGGACATTTTTCCAGAGATTCGGGTTATTGCAAATCACTCCTGGGGTGAGAAGGAGAAGCATCTTCTCTTCCTGTAAAGTGTGATGAAGGGGAATGAAGTGGAATCTCAGGGAAATCAAAATGCCAGTATCAGGAAGCTTTGGGGGAGATCTGTATTACCAAGTAGCAGAGCTGCAGGGCTTATTGGTCCTGACTGTGGCATCAGAACACTCCCCTTCAGAAGAGTCACAGTCTGATTCTCCAAACTGTGGTGGGTTCTGAAAAGCACAAGGAAAAGAGGAGAGAGACTTGAGTGACACTCCTGCACTGCAGATCACCCCCCACCCCCACAGAATCATAGAATGTCCCTCCTGAACTGAGGGGCTCAGAACTGAGCACAGGATTCAAGGTGTGGGCTCAGCAGCATGGAGCCCAGGGGCAGAATCACCTCCCTGGTCCTGCTGACCACACTGTTCCATCTGTGCAGCAGAGAAGCAAAGGTCAGTGCCAGCAGCGGAGGAGGAGGGAGCACAGCACTGCCCTACCAAAGGG